CCCTACCCACAATCACCCAGTTGTCTACAGGAGCGATTGCATAGAGAAAGTGGCTCCCCATACTTATGTTAAAGGTGACAAACGTATAGTCCATGTAATAAATGCAAAGGGCTCCAGAATTCTGAATTAAGGTAACTTGATTAACAAGTAAGGGAAAGTGCTCTGCTTGAGACTTCAAATGGAGAGTTGGCTTTGAGACACACTTCTATTCATGGTTGACAATACTGACCTAAGTGAATCTCTGCTCAATAGGGTTGTCAGGTTTCCCACTATGATGGAGACCTCCAGCTGGCAAACCCCACTTCCTGCTGCTGATCAGTTGGCCAGCAGAAGAAAAATTAATTTTAAAAAAATCAATGTCAGCGTAATGGTGTGATATCCCTTCTGGTGAAAACCCGCAAGTGGCATCACACTGCTCTAGGAATCACTGTATACTCTATAGTTTTACCATGGAGTTTTTGGTGATTCCTAGAAAAGTGTGACATCACTTCCTGGTTCTCCCCTAAAGTGATATCATGCCATTACACCAGTGGCACCCCACCCCATGTTCCCTGCCAACTCCCACTGGGTGCCAGCCATTGGCTGTCAACCCTACTACTCAAACTATACATGTGCCTCATTCATGTTTATGTAGCCAAATAATCATGTGTTGCTGCTCTGATCATGGGAAGCTTTTGGAAATAAGGGATGTCAATTCTCACTTGTTTGGTGCCAGTTTGGTGTAGTGGTTAAGTGTGCAGACTCTAATCTGGGAGAATCGGGTTTGATTCCCCACTCCTCCACTTGCATCTGCTGGATGACCTTGGGCAAGCCATAGTTCTGTCAGAGCTGTCCTTGAAAGGGCAGTTCTGGAAAGAGCTCTTTCAGCCCCACCTACCTCACAGGGTGTCTGCTGTGGGGAGGGGGAGGGGAAGGGAAAGGAGATTGTAAGCCGCTATGAGACTCCAAGTGAAGGGTGGGGTATAAATTCAATCTCTTCTTCTTCCTCTTCCTCCTCTTCCTCTTCCTCCTCTTCCTCCTCTTCCTCCTCCTCTTCCTCTTCTTCCTCTTCCTCTTGTTTCCAGGCAATTTTGTTTGGTGATGTTCACTGTCAGACCTTCTGATTAAAGCACTTCTCTGGCAATTCCGACATTATATTATTTGCCATGTAAATGACTAACATTTATGAAAATATCTCACAAAGAGCTATGCATGCTAGTCTGCAACAGAGGCATGTTCATGGCTTTGTGTGCTCCAGGGTCTCTCCCTACCTTCAGAACTTGATGGAGTCTCCTCAGGTCACAACTGGTTCCAAAGTTAGCTTGGTAGATGTGTTCAAGAAGGGTAACCAGTAGCATGTGCTGGGAGTGCTCTATGGTGCTAAGCCTTTCAGCAACTGAGAGAAACTCCCTGTGAACTTCAGAAGGGTTCAGTAACAGGACTGTTCTGGGGAAAGAAAAACGAGAGCAAACAGTGAACAGCCTGATTCAGAATTTGAGAGAGACTATTTGCAGTATGTCTGGCATGGGGTCATCACTGACTGCTGTCATGATCTATGGGCTACAATCAAAGCAAGCTTTCAATCATAGGGGGGAAAAGAAGTCTAAAAACAGATTAGATTTAAAATGCCAGCAGATGGCACTGTCCTTCCATTTTACTGAGGTGTTCACTTGGATGACCAGGTTCCTTGAAAACGATATCAGCACTGTTCAAATGTTTTGGGTAGACAAGACAACTGGAGAGACAACATCTCCCCCTCCCCTCTCCCCCCCTTGCTGTCCACAGTTAACAGGTTATTGTTAGTGACTGGTCAGAGTCCAAGATTGGAGGGGGGAAATTTCATGGGTTCAAACACCCATCCCTGATCCATTTAAATTTAGTCCCACTTGTCTGTGTTCCAGAGATTATTCCAGAGCTGCATCATGGGCCTCCACTGGACTTTAGATGCTCCCCTGAGCATGTGTCAATGTCTAGAGTCCTGCTGAAGTTACACAGATTAGGACTCAAGGCAGCTAGGAGCTTGGAGATCTCCTGGGATTACAACTGATCTCCAGACTAAAGAGACCAGTTTCCCTGGAGAAAATGACTGCTTTGGGGTGGACTCTGTGCCATTACATCCCATTGAGGTCCTAATTCCAACCACACCCCAAACTCCACGAATTTCCCAACCTACAGTTGGCAACCCTAAAGGCTTTTCTGTGGTCTTATCCCAACTGAGGTACGCCTTCCCCCAGAGTTATATTCACCCTATACTTACTCTAGAATCACTGAGGCACTGAATTAAGACATTTTTATTCTCCCAAGCTTTTAGTGATTGATCTGTGTCATGCCTCTTCCTGCTTGGATTGGTGCTGATGGACTCTCTTTACTGTTCAGCCACCCCCTTCCTGGCTATTGTTACTGGTTGAATTTGTTTCTTGATTTTATAGTCAATTTCATCTGTAAATTGCCTTGGAATACTGTGACTTGACAAGTAAGGAAGGATTTTTTAAAATTAAATAATATAACTGCACCCAAGATCTTGTGTTTTATTTATTTATTTATTTATTTCTATTTATATCCCGCCCGCCCTGATTACAGGATGGCAAAACAGCAGCACTACTTACATTTCTTGGAGAGGATGAAGCCTTCCTAAAAACAGCATCCTCTGGTCTGGAGATGCTGCCCCCTAACCAGTGTGCACAGGGGGACTCTACTTTTACTCAGTGTTAAGGGGAGTTTTCTCTGCATCTGTTCAGAGACCTTTTAAATTCTAGGGCTGGGGCCTGGCACAAACAAACCCTCACATAGCAAGGTAAAGGCAAAGATTCCCTTGCTCGAAAGCCAGTCGAATCCGACTCTAGGGTTGCGGTGCTCATCTCCGTTTCAAAGCCGATAAGCCAGCGCTGTCCGAAGACGTTTCCATGGTCATGTAGCCAGCATGACTAAACACCAAGGCGCACGGAACGCTGTTACCTTCCCACCGAAGTGGTACCTATTTATCTACTTGCAATTTCTTGCTTTCGAACTGCTAGGTTGGCAGGAGCTGGAACTAGAGACGGGAGCTCACTCCGTCATGTGGCACCCGGGTCTCGAACTGCTGAACTACTGACCTTCCACAGCCTGCAGTTCAGCATCTTAACCACTTGAGCCACCGCAGCTCCTCACATAGCAAGGCCCATGGGGAAATTCAGGGAACATCCCATAATGCTCCATTCCTGAGGGAATTAATTGAAGGCAAGTACTGTTGTTGTAATACTTACATAATAGAACTTTCTGAACTCTTTGCAGACAGACCATGCTCTGCCCTCACCAGCCTTTGATAAGAAATCCCTGTAAGAAAAACAAATAAGTGGAACCTTATAGAATTTGACAGTTATTTTACCCTACTTTTTTACTTGTGGTTCCAAAACAGTTTGCCATAGCATAGCGTTAAATTTTTGAGTGGGGGGAAGTAATAAAAAACAAGAAAGAGTGCACACAGAAACAAAAAGTAACAAAAGAGCATAATCCAGCACTGAAGTCTAGGCATCACTCCCCAGCAAGTCAACTTCAAGTTAACCCAGATGCTTTGCTGAAGAAATAGTTTCTACTACGCTCTTAAAAGCCAGGAGGGAAAATACCAATCATTCCTTATGGGGGGAAGGTATTCTATAATTTCAGTACCACTACCACCAAGGCCCTCTCACGCATTGCTATCTGCCCAAAGTTGAACTGTTGTAGTACACAAAGCAAGACTTCCTCCAAAGTTTCAGCAAGTGGACAGGATGTGGTAAGTGACTGCTCTGTACAGAAAATTCAAGAGAGGAACTTTAGCTTGACCACCACAAAGTTTTCCCAACAGCAGAACCAAGGGTTAAGAAAGGCTTTTCCATGGAGAACCACTGCTGGTCAGAGCAGATGATACTGAGACAGGCAGACCAATAGTCTAACTTGATATAAGGCAGTTTTACATGTTCCACAACCCCGTGATGATTCTCTTGGACTTCCCAGTCACTGAAGTACTTCTCTGTTAGGTGCTTTTAAAAAAAAGAAAGAACACCCTTGACTGATGGTTGAACTTCAACAATGCATGACCAGGCTCAATTTGATCTCCACCCCTGTACACTTTACAGCCCAGTATGTCTACATGGAAGTCTCATTTTTTTTTAATAAAGGTTTTATTGACTCCCCTAAAAAGGGGAGGTATTTCGCTTAAAAGAAGAAATAGGAAGGGTAGACAGTGGGGGAAAGAGAAAGCTGAGTGATATATAAACTGGTAAATTAAACTGTTAGTAATGTCCAATTAATCTTCTTGGGCTTCTTCTGTGTGTTGTCAAACTTCTTTTTTTTAATCCGGTCACATGAAGTTCTCTGTTAGTATGTTAGTAATGTTCCTTTGAGTTTCTGTTAATAAAAAAGCCTCTTCTGGGCACATTCAGAACCACTTCTTTGCGTGCTGGGTACTTTTAGTGTCGCTGACGTGGAGGAGCTTCCTCTGTTGTCTTCTCCTTCCAGCTTGTTTGATCCTCCTTCGGGTTGCTGTTAACAATCTCAGTTCATGCACTGTAAATTCTCTTCCTTGCTTGCCATTACTGGAGGTCCCCAGCTTTGAGAATGGTATTAATTTCTTCGCTTTTATATCCGCTCCCAAAACTCTCTACTGGGTCCTCCTCGCAACTGTTGACTCATATAAGCGCTTGCCAGGCACTCCTCGCTGTCACAGTTCAAACTTCTCCGTTTTACAAAACTCCCGTCGGATATGGAAGTCTCATTTTTAATCATTGTTTTAGAACTGAAAAGTTATACAATATTTGTGCTTTCTTTACATTTTGCAAGTTCTAGTGCAACCCCAGGAGATGATTAACATTCATTAGTTCAACAGCTAAATTATCTTTGTGGCCACATGTATGATGTTTGATGGAGAGGGGGATAATAAAATATTTTGCAACTCTCAGGAGTATGGATGTATGGTTTACTAGGAGCCAGGCTAGAGATGGAGAGAACTAGCTAAGCACACCAGTTAGAAAAAGAATCTCATTGGCACATTCTGGTCTGTTTCCTCTTCCTTGTCAGTCTTTCTTTCAGACTGTATTTAACTGGGAGGAGTCAAGGCTCAAATCCACCTACAAATATACAACTTGAAAGATCTCACTCACGGGCAAGGAAAAGGTACTCTGTGTATGCCCATAATTGCTCTTGTTATCACTCCTGTCACCACCCAGCCTCTGGCTTCTCTATATGAGCTGCTACAGCTGGGATCCAACTGGGTTAGTAGAGACTGAGAAAAAACATGGTGGAGGCCAGGCTGCTCACCCACAAGCCAAGGTGTACTAAAAATACAGGTGAGAGTGCTGGGAAAAGAATGAAAAGTTGCTGATGGAAGGAGAAACCTGCTTCCTGCATTCTTCAGCAACCTGAGTTAACAGTTGCCAGGCATGATTTTCCATCCTTTGCATCCTCAGATATTTGATGGAGGAGTGAAATTAATGATTTCACAGGAGTGAAATTAATGATCACTGAATAATGAAATAAAGAAGGCTGAATTACCAGCCTTCACTTTTGCTATGAAATGAAGTAACCAACTCAAATTTAGTGTGTGTTTTTCCAATTGAATTTAGGGTCAGGTATCAGAAACTAGAGTCAGCAACTTGACTAGGAAACTAGAAAAGCCATACTATGTTTCTTCCCTAATTGCACAAATAGCCCCTGTCCCAAGATAGACATGAAGTTAAATCTGTTACTGCTTCAACACAGTTCTGAGCAAGCTGGCATTTTTAGAAACCTTCATCCTTTAATTGAGGAAACTGTTTAATGAGGAGCAACAAAAGGATGCCTGGCCGCACAGCCTAATCAAGAAGCTGCCACTACATAAAACAGAACAGAAGAAGTCTTATGAGTGGTGATCATCCATGGTAACCAAACCTGAACTCATTAAGCAGAGAATGCACTACAGTTCACCGATTATGTGGAGGGGTACCCTCCTTCTCGTTCTCAGCTCTCTCCTGCTCAGCTACTGTGCGCTATCTTGTTTATTTATTTATTCATAATCAAATTTATACCCCGCCCTCCCCGCAAAGCAGGCTCAGGGCGGCTTCCACAACAATACAACAATACAAGATAAAAGCATAAATAATACAGAATTAAAACACGACAATTAAAATAATGCATTACAAATGTTTCAAAGTACTGGCAGCAGGTAAGATAAACCAATGAGATGTATTCAAATAAAGTGCTTTGATGTTATTCCACATAGGTGTTTGAATGTTATATTGCTCATTCTTGAGGCAGCTGCTGATGTCAACATTACGGGCCGTGCACTAAGACGGTAGCGGATCTTAGTTATATGCCTGGCAGAAGAACTCCGTCTTGCAGGCCCTGTGGAACTGTGAAAGCTCCCGCAGGGCCCTGATCTCCTCCGGGAGCTTGTTCTACCAGGTAGGGGCCACCACCGAGAAGACCCGGCCCTAGTAGCCTGGCCTCCCTAGGGCCAGGGAGGGTCAACCGATTTTGAGACCCAGACCATAGTGCTCTCTGGGGTATATATGGGGAAAGGCGGTCCTGTAGGTATGTTGGACCCTGGCCACGTAGGGCTTTAAAGGTAAGAACCAGCACTTTGAAGTGGATTCGGTATACTATTGGCAGCCAGTACAGTGTCCTCAGCACAGGCTGGATGTGCTCCCATCTAGGGAGACCCATCAACAGCCTGGCCATGTCATTCTGCACTAGCTGCAGCTTCCGGATCCATGACAAAGGCAGCCCCATGTAGAGAGCATTACAGTAGTCTAGTCTTGAGGTAACCATCGCATGGATCACTGTAGCCAGGTCAGCACAGTCAAGGAAGGGAACCAACTGCCTAATCAGCCTCAGATGATAGAAGGCCAACTTGGCAGTGGCAGCTACCTGGGCGAAATCCAGGAGAACTTCCAAAACTCCGAACCTCTGATGCTGGGACCAATGAGCCCCCCCAAAGGTCAGGAGTGGGATCCCCAACCCCGAACCACCCCGACCCAGGCACAGGACCTCCGTCTTCACTGGATTCAGCTTCAGCCAACTCAGTCTGAGCCACCCAGCCACGGCCTGCAAAGCACCATCCAGATCATCTGGTCTGGAGTCCGAATGGCCGCATCAGATAGAGCTGGGTGCCATCAGCATACTGGTGACATCACAGCCCATACCTCCGGGCAATCTGGGCAAGCGGGTGCCTCCTGGACTGCTGTTCCCCTAGTGCCACCCTTTGTCCCTGACCTTGAAGAAAGGAGGCAAATCATTGCAAGGTGAGCCCCCTAATCCCCACGTCGGCGAGACAGTGGACTAGTAGCTGATGGTCGACCATGTCAAATGCGGCTGACAGATCTAACAACAACAGCACTGTCATTCCGCCTCGATCTAGATGCCTCCGGAGGTCGTCAGTCAGAGTGACCAGCACCGTCTCCGTCCCATGACCCAGGCGAAAGCCAGACTGGAAGGGATCTAACACAGAAGCATCATCCAGAAAACCCTGCAGCTGTATTGCCACCGCCCTCTCAATCAATTTGCCCAAATAAGGCAAATTGGAGATCGGCTGGTATTAGCCAATTCAGCCGGATCTAGAGATGGTTTTTTCAAGAGAGGGTGGACCATCGCTTCCTTGAGTGTCCCAGGGAATTGCCCCTCTAAGAGGGACTTGTTGATAATCTCCCTTAGGGCACCTCGAAACCCCTCATGGCCAGATTTAATAAACCAGGAGGGGCACGGATTAAGACTGCAAGAGGTTGGGCGCACAGCTGCGAGCAAGCTGTCACCTTCCTCCAGGCTGAGAGGGCTGAAGCGATCCAGAATCGAACCTGAAGATGTGCAATGGGCCTCAAGCTCACTCACTGTATCAAGTGTTGTGGGGAGGTTGTGGCGGAGCACCACAACTTTATCTGCAAAATAGCTTGCAAAAGCCTCACAGCCAATGTCCAATTCACTAGCATTTGGTCTGCCCTGTGGCAGAGCTGTTATTGACCAAATTGTCCTAAATAATTAGGCTGGGCGAGAGCTAGCGGACGCAATCACCACTGCATAGAAAACCTTCTTTGTGGCTTTGACCGCCATCTCATAGGCTTTCATAAATGTCCTATAAGATGATCTTGTTGCTTCGTCTCGAGTTTGACGCCACCGTCTCTCTAGCCATCTGAGCTCTCACTTCATCAGCCATAACTCCTGGGTATACCAAGGAGCCAGCTTAGTGCGGGGGTGTAGAGGGTGCCGTGGAGCGATCTCGTCAATGGCAGCAGAGAGCAGGCTATTCCAGTCCTCTGCAAGCTCATCCAACAAGCCGCCAGGGGGCATCAGATCCCGCAGGGCCATCTGGAGCTGCACTGGGTCCATCTGGCTCCGTGGGCGAGGCAAAATATGCTCACCGCCTAAACTTGTAGATGTTCCAGCTGCAGTTTACACGGCTGGGAAAGTTAACGGCTTTTCTGCTATGCCCGCTTGCTTTGCCGTGTGCGCGAGATATACCCATTGGCTCATGCTTACAGGGGGAATGTTTGATTTCACTATAAGTCAGAGGCCCTAGTACTGATGGCCATTCCTGACACAAGCTGTACACGTGTTCTTTAGTACTGGATCCACTAATAAACAGTTATCCTCTTCTGAAGCCCTGTGTGGTGTGACCTGACTAAGAAGCCTGACAGTTACTCATTCAAAGACCAAACGTACCTTAAAGGATCTGAACGGGTTCTCTGTTGCTACTGAGTCATTCATCCCCTCAAGTGAAAGATAAGGATGGGAGAACAACAGAGAGTAACTGCATCCAATTTGTCAGGCAAATGGACTTAACACAAGAATAAATTCTACCCCTGGAATGGAAACTAATTAGCTTACAAAAACAATGCGGTGTAGTGCCTAGGAGTGTCGGATCTCAACACTCTGATTAAAACCTTGCCTCCATCATGAATTCGCTAGATGGCTTCAGAAAACCAATATTCTCTCAGCTTCATACTCAAACCCCATCTAAAGTATGGTGATAATGCTGTCCTACATATCTGTTACAAGGAGTACACTGACACTGCATGACAAGTGCTTTGAACATACAAAAAGTATCATATAAGTGCCAAGGACTTGTAATCATTTAAATATTGTAGTGTGAAAGTGGAGACCATCAGGAAGATTCTCTGTGCCAGGACTCTGCATAGTTTATGCTTAGAACATTCTAATCCACATCCTTGCAGTGTCTGCCCACCTGTGGGGTTGCAGAAAGGTGGCACACAGATTCACATAGGCTGTGCATGAGCCAACTTTTAAATGTCATGCCTAATGCCTAGGAAAGGTGACATAGGCAAGTTCTTTTTGGGCAGCCTCCACGTGATACAATCATGTTTAAAACCAACTGTTAGCATGAATGCCTGACAATTATTACCTTTCTGGCAACATCCCTTGCGTGTCATATACAGGCTGCTACATTCCGTAATGTAGTGTGAACTTCATGACTGACCATACAATTCAGTAAAAGTATCAGAGCAGTTTTAGGCATCTCTGTCATCTCTCACAAGGGAGGAAGATTGGAAACATTTTTGGACCAGTAGTATGAGATCTGGGCTGAGGTTCTGTTTCACTGTTGCAGACATTTAGCCTGGCTGGGGCACCAAAGCTTTGGTGCAGGCTGAATGAAAGGAGCCAAATGACTCTGGGCTCTTAGCTTATGGTTCAGAGTGGATCCAGGACCATCCCAGGAGTTGAATTTGTACTGAAGATAGTTGCTTTACTCTAAATTGTATTTGGGGAAGGGCTGTAAGGTATTTTGATTCCCCAGCAAAATTAAGAGCAGGACATAAATACCAGCACAAAATCTCTCAAATAAAAAAATCAACTAACTTCAATCAGCATTGCAAAGATCTGGGGGATCCATTTGTGATTGAGAACATGGCTTCCTACCTGGGGCTTTGAGCTCGTTGTCAATAAAGGTCAGCAATTCCTGGCAGATACCGCAGTATGGCATGGGCCAAGTGAGGAAATCACGGTAGGTCTGCCTGGCTCTCCAAAGCAGGTCAGAATTGGAAGGGAAGTGGGAGGTCTGTCAAGAGAATAGAAATGGCCTAAAACATCACATTTGGCATTATGGTGACCATTCATAACAGATCCCTCTGTCATGTTCTTTCAGATGTGGAGATTCATGGGCTACAGCCATGTGTCAGCTGACACCACTGAGGCCAAATAACTTACACATGAACATTACGAGGAAACAACTGAAGATAAGCTATAGGATGACATTTTGTCAGTTGTTAAGGTGCTACTGGACTCCTGTTTTCTATTGCTATAGGATGACATGTCTACTTTATGCAGCTGTTGCTGATACTGCCTGGGAAACAACTAGATGCATTGAAAAAACCCAGCAGTGAGGACTGGGCCCAGAAGTATGGGACAAATGAGTGGCCAGCAGCAAAGGAAGGCCACTTATGGAATCTTGCACATCTCCCCAAAGCCTGGAGCCAGAATTGGATCCACATTACTCCTCCCCATGTACACAGCATTATTTTTTTTTAACTAAATGTCATTAGGGAGTTGTTGGAGAGGCCTGTGGGCTGTTGATAGCCATTCATCTCCTGTAACAGATAATGATACCCTCACTGGTTTTTATTTTTTAAAAAGCTGTAGTGATGCAAAGAAAGTGCCTGCCTGGGGGCTGAGCATACCAAATGCAGCACCAGAACTTACACACAGGACAGCTGAACTGAAGAGCAAGGCCAGTGGAATAAATAGATCATAGTCACATTTCTCTTGGACCTGCAGAAAGGAGTAGAAGGGAAATGAGATTAGATAAGCAGAAAGACGAGACCTCCAAAGCCATAGGGATCCAGAAGTTCTGGAAGATGACAGGGATGGGACTTAGCATGACAGCCATTCCGTTTTAACACCATCTGGCTCTAGCACATGTGAATGGCGAGTGATATGAGGATTCTAATGGGGCAGAGCCAGAAGAAGGAAAACTAAAGATACAGATGGGGAAGGAGAGTAAGAGAAGAATGAGGGAAAAGCAAGTTTGAATATATTTTGATACAGCACTAGTAAATAAATGTTAAGAGTTAGTCATTAACACATTTTTAAAGTGTTGTATAAAAGTACAGAAATGTCCATATTAACCAGTGTCTCTGCCTCTTTCACACACATAAGAAGTTTTAAGACCATGCAGGCTCTGACCCTCACATTTCTATGCAGCTTTAAACATTCCCTGGATCCAGTGACAATCCCACATGGTGACTTTTTGAACCTAACCACACCACCTTGAGCTGTTTGTCCAGTTAATCCTCCTGAGCATGTGGGATGTCCCTGGAGTCCACTGACAGCAAGGACACCCTCCACAGCGCAAGTGACAATGCAGCTAGATAAGAAGAGTCGTGATATAGAGAGTCACAAGGCTGCCATAATATTAAAAGTAACAACATATGGCTTGACCCTGAGTTCTTACAACAGTGGCTTGCTTTCAGCTCAACTGCACAAGGAATCTTGATCAAAAGTCCTCATCCTACTCCATCTTTTCCAGCTACATGACGTATCTTATGGGGTTGCCAACTCCAGGTTGGAAAATTTCTGGAGATTTTGGATTTGAGCCCTGAGAGAGACATCAGCAGGACATAATGCCATACAGTCTACTCTCCAGAGTTGTCATTTTCTCCAAGGGGAATCTGAAGATCGGTTGTAATTCTGGGAGCTCTCCAGGCCCCACCAGGAGGTTGGCAACCCTTTATGTCTACTTAACACAGCAGTTGCTGAACTTATTCTCTTACGAACAGTTCCTTGAGACTGACCTCTCCCATTGATCCTTCCAACTAGACAAAGTAGATACTTGATGGTAGAGAGAGAGAAGGTAGCCAGTCTGGCCCCAGGGAAAGAATTTGGCCAAGGGAACCACAAGGGACAATACATTATTAGCATATGGCCAGTAAATTAACATTGTTAGCACCCATCCAAATGAGAGATGCTGGGGCTAAGTGTCAGGTCCCCAGCTAATTCACTCTCCACACACACTATTGGCAGTGTAATGCTTTATTAGAGATATGATTGTTGTGGGCTTTTGTTAGGACTGCGGAAAAAACGTGGGAACATACAGGTTATAGGTAAAACCCAAAAATTCCATTCATAACCACATCATGCCTACTCCCTAGCGTTTCTATGCAACATGGACAGATATATGAGGCCCTATTCTAACCTAGGCTGGCATAGAGATCTCCAAGGTCAGTCTCATGGGAACGAGAGACACTTAGGGCGTGCTTCAAGATTGTTACAGCACCTACTCCCATGCACTCCAATAACACTCCCCTCCTAGAAATTTAACATGACAAGCGAGGGTAAAGGAAACAGGTCTGGAAGGAATCAAAAGTTAAAAAGTCAGGCCGAGCTTGACACTAAGTTCATCACTGTGTAAGACAAGGAAGCTGGACTAGATAGATTATTGGTCTGATCCAGCAGGGTTCTTAATAGGATTTTTGAGAGGCACATCTAGAACAAGAAAAGATCCAGCTCAGAAAATTAAATAAAATATGCAGGGCCCATGGTAAAATGCACACTGGGTGATCTCAGGGAGAAAACGGGGAAGCCCCTCATATAATTCCTCTTTGCTAGCATTTGCATTTTAAGTAGAAGAGCTATACACTATGATGTACACACTAGAAGCTGTCTACCACTTCTCCTCTTCATAGGAAATTACTAGATCTTACTTTAAACATTGGTGAGTAACAACCAGACAGGTCAGTACAAAACCAGCTACTAATGAAAAACAGCAGTAGACTTTCCAATTATTATACAAGGTCTTAGTTCTCAGGTGGGAGGGATCATTCCATATCATATAAGCATGGGTGTGATTTTCCTGCTCTTGCAAGACCCCATAACATTGTAACACAAATTGGCTCTGCAGCAGGTGGCTCCATTCTCTTCTTCATGCAGACACTCACCTGTTGCTCGCTGCAGAGATCTTCACACTCTGAGCCACACTTCTATTTTTAGGACACAAAAGAATAGAATAGCCAGGGCAAATAGCAGGAAGTCACACTGCCTGGCAAGAATTTTAAAAAGAAAAATACGGGGTCGATCTATCACAGGAAGAACATGTATACTAACCCCCCTTGCAGCAACCTGGCTGTGACCCCCATTTCAGACAGAAGCACGGCCAGCCTTCTCAAGTCACAAAGCTGAGATCTCCCTTCCTGATCCTTCTCACCCCACAATAGTCAGCAGACAATGGAGTATTGGGTGGGAGACAATTGCTCAATAGCAGAGAGGCCATGCTCTAGTCAGGAAATCGCAAACATCCACTTGACTATCAGGCTGCTGACCCAGGTGCCAAGAACTCATTGTCTTCCTTCACAGCTCTGCTCTCCAGCCTGCAGCTCCGACACAACAGAACTGGAGCCAACCGACTCCGAAATGCTCGACCACTGCAAGTTCTTGCCCAGCATCTGCATTGCTAAGCAAGGAATAAACACTGGTCTTAAGGTATTTTGGCCCTTTGCAAGGATGGGAGGAATCCAAACGATGCCTCTTTCAACAGTAAAAAATGCCACAATAATGATTAAATCAGATACCTGACAATTTACTGTCCTTTAATGGTGCACCAAATCTACTATCAAGCCAGGTGATGCTTTCTAAAAGGCAAAGCCAGCTCCAGCAGGAGTCAGCCCACACAGGGACAAGTAAGTTGGGAGGCATTCAAAATGGAACCAGTATCTGCCTCCATGTTGGATTCTAAGAATACAAAATGTAATATGGCTCAAAAAAATTGTGTCCAAACACCTAATTCTCTTTTCTTACAAAATAATGAGCCTCAAAAGGGCCTAAAATTGGTGATTTCCTCCATGACATGGCGGGCACCATTCAGGAATGAAATCTACTTCATGTAAAAACCTGTGTTTCCACTGCAGTGCTGCAAAGAACTAAAAAACAAAACCTGTTAAAATCAGAGCATGTTAAAAAGCAAAGATCCAAACAAACAAACAAACAAAAAGCTGAAAGTCAATGAGCTTTCATTCAACACAAGGCATGATAAAATCAGCCACTCTTCTCATTCAGACTCATTCAGGTGGTGGGCTCTCCTTCTTTGGAGGTTTTCAAACAGAGGCTAGATGGCCATCTGACAGAAATACTGATTCTGTGAGCTTAGGCAGATCATGAGAGGGAGGGTAGGAAGGGTTGCATCAGTGCTTAGTTCTTGTGGCCCTTTCTTACATGCCCAGGGAAATGCTGATCACCACATTGGGGTCAGGAAGCAATCTTTCCCCAGGCCAGTTTGGCTGGGGATCCTGGAGATTTTTTGTTATCTTCTGGGCATGGAACAGGGGTGACTGGGGGGGGGAGGTATTTGTGAATTTCCTGTATTGTGCAGGGGATTGGACTAGATGACCCTGGGATCCCTTTCAACTCTATGACTCATATGGAAGACATCCCCTGTTCCAAATGTGCTCTGATGTCAGGCTGGCTGAAAACTACCATCATGCATGTACTTCATCTCCCCCTCCCCAATTTACCTCTTCTGTCTTTTGCAGGATTTTCTCCAGAAGGATGAGGTAGTTCCCTGCATCACGACTAACCAGCTCCTGAAGGCTCCAGCAATTCAGACAAAGCCCAGCTAACAAAGAAAGCAAATACAGAGAGTCATCAAATGACACAGCCAGCCTATGTTCAAAAGGGTTCATAGCCCTTACTGCAGAAGAGTCCCAAGTGCCTACATCAGAGAATGAAAACCGATGATCAAGTATACTATGTATATATTTACACTGTGCATACCTCAGAAGAAGAGGGCTGTTATATAGTTCCCTTTTGTTTGTGGGAGGCTGGGTGACCCACAAGATGACAAGCTGTCAAGGCACTGGGAAAGGTAGGAGGAGCCCCCTGTATTTCTGTATGAAACAGCAAGTCATGGAAGGATAGTAAGACTATGGGAGGGGTTAGGGAGATGCTGATGGTTCCTTCTTGCTGTTTATGCCTAACTTGTGGGAAAACATCTATCTTTGAAGGGAAAGTAGGTTCTGTCTGTCCTGTTAATGGAGCTAATAATTTCTGCTCATGCTCAGCATTTAATCACATGTAACACCTTTTCAGTGATCTCTGTTTGTGATTGCCCCAAAGTGTGTAGCGAGTTGTTTCCATGTTGCGCCACCCTTCAGCTAAGCAACTAGTGTTGACAATGATACAGCATATGATCGTGCACAGATGCTTTGCTTAAGGTCCCATCATTCACAGGTACCAGGGCTAGAAAAGATATTCTGAGACCGTGGAGACATGTTGCCAGTCAGTGGCAGATTATTGGCTAGATGGACTGGGGTTCTGACCCAGTATATTACCTTGTACATGTTCATTGCCCATTTATATACAGACCTCCTTCAGAAATGGTGCCAAAATAGTTAGTTTCCCTGCAGTGGTTTTAGAAGTTGTTGATTCCAAGCTATGAACTGCCTTTTATTTAAGAGAAGAGTTGAGAAAGGAAATGCTAACCTTAGAAGCTGGCTGAAGGAGGCAGCACCCACAGGAGCAGCAAGCAGGTCTTTGCAAAGAATGAAATGTGATTCTGAGAAAAACACCCTGAGCCATATCTGTACTAAGTTGTTTGCAGCAATGTGGGTAGTCACCCAGCTGTAGGTGTGATACTGTAGTGTTTGTTGACACTCTTGAGGCTGCATCCAGGCGACAAGCTTCTTCTGCAGCTGATTTAGTACCTTAGTACAAACCCAAGGTGGGGGATAAAAGAACCTCAAAGAACAGGTGTTAGCTAGCTTAGGGGTTCTCGGCTGTACCACCCATGCTGATCCTGCCTGTCTTTGGGCAGGACTACCATCAGGCAGTGCCATGGATCAGTACATGATATGGCATGCATATGCTGCATCAGTGTGCCATTTAAAAAGGAAAACAGATACCCACACACACACCTGGAACCCTACGAATTCAGTACAAAAGGGAAATATACAAGTGTGCATTGGATCTGAACTGCAGCACCTCTCTTCTTTTTACCACGTCACTGGACAAGTGGTTTCCATTAGGAGGCTAGGGGTCAGTTCCACTGTAACATTTTCTACATGTGACTTGTTAGGAAAACAGGTAACATGAGAATAAAGGGTTTTTGTATGGTGTGCGAGAACTTTCATGTTCTCATATGCAACTGTACAAAAATTCAGGATCAGCAGTTCCTGGTATAGCCAGCAAGGCTCCAGCAACAACACGAATAGGGGAACATGCTGGAGAGTGGGCTTTTCCTGTTCTACTGGTGGCGTGGCTCCTGGTCACACATCTCCACCATCCCCTATAATAATTGCATAACAGTGTTGCAAGACATGCAAGAAGTCTCAGATGTGTTCAAAGGCCACTATGCAAAGAACTTGCTTTCTAGCATGCAAAAATATAGAAATGAGGGATACACAGAAAGGGTGTGCAGCCTGGAAGTCCTGAACTGAAAATACACATGAAAATAACTTTTAGGTTGTTACTGTGATTTCTGGAACAGTAAACATAAATCAGGGATTCTTTCGCATTATGAAAAATAACCCCTGGGGAAAAAAATCAGTTTTTTTCGTGTTTGAGTGCTTACCATCAGCAGCAGGCATCTTGTTTTTATTTGATTCTCCTGATTTCTTGAGCAACAGCATTTCCCCTTTCCAATTGGATCTTTATAAGTGATCAGGAGAGTACTCTCAGCCAATCAACACTGGAGAAAAACTCCAGAGAAGGACACCCAACATGAAACAATTGGATGATCTATTCATCACATGCAGTAACACACACATATCCTCTATTTTTTTAAAAAAAAAACTGAGCTATTTTCAAAGATTGCAATGACAGGGTGGTGAAAGAAGTTTTATGCAAATGAAGTTCATCACATGCAGTAACACACACATATCCTTTAAAAAAAAACAACTGAGCTATTTTCAAAGATTGTAATGACAGTGTGGTGAAAGAAGTTTTATGCAAATGAAGCCTTCTGTACTTTGTGAAAGGAGATAACAGACCACAAAAAGAAGGACAGCAAATGCTAGGGTTGCCAGGTCCCCTCGTCATTCTGGCAGGGGAATTTGGGGGACTTTCCAGGGGTGGGCTGGGATGCCCCCAAGCCCCACCCCCAAGAGCAGCCAACCCCTCTCCCTCCCCTCCTACCAGATTTAAAGGGCTTCAGCTGATAGACGGTTTGCCTGCTGATCAGGTGGCCCTTTAAATCTTTCAAGAGGGAGGGAGAGGGGCTGTTGCTGGCTGCACGCTCCACTTGCAAAAAGAGACTTTAAAGGGTCTTTTTGCGAGCACAGTGTACGAACGGCAACAGCCCCTCTCCCTCACTCCTGAAAGATTTAAAGGGCCCTCCAGCTGATCGGCGGGCCATGTGCTTCCTGTCAATCACACGAAGCCCTTTAAATCTTGCAGGAGGGGAAGGAGAGGGGTGACTGTGGGTGATCACTCTTGGGGGAAGGGCTTGGAGCCCCCCAAAACAGGGGAACCCCCTCCCAGACCTGGGGGCTGGCAACCCTAGCAAATGCAGAGTTTTCAGTGGAAAAGAAGAAAAAAATGTCATCCAGTCACTGTAAGACTGTATAAAGAAACTGGAGGCAGCCAGTGGCCCCTGGTCTCCTGTCAGGCCACTGCCATTTCCCCCCAATAGGAAACAGTGGAGAGATGTGCACTGAGAGGCACCTGTTTCTGCGTTCTGTAACACTGAACCCCTTTGTCCACTTTGCTTGAACCTTAGAAGGGCTTTAAATTAGATGATGGACAATGTTCTTTAAAAAATTGTCACCATTATCTTTTTAAAAAGCTGCACCAGGTCCACAAGTTGGTTCACCCACTGAAAATAATGGTCCTGAAATCCCAGAACCTAAAACAAAACAACAAAACATGGATTTGAATCCTGAACTAGTACCGTCCTACCTAAAAATCAGGAATAAGCAGTCAAGGTGTTCTCCTTGAATCCTAGATTCAAACTTATGATGAAACTTTTCTCAAAGCACACCCTTAATGCACAGTGCTATACTAATCTGGGCAGCATAGAAAACGTTCCTCATTTAAGAGAAAAGTCAAGAAGTGTGGGGTGGCAGCAATCCCTGAGAGAAAGATGAGGAGAGTATAACTTGGAGTCTCTCCCCCCATCTCCATATAAGTATTCTTGATTCTTACCCCCTCAGAACTTTGAGGCATTGGGAGAAAAATTCCAAAATTATGACCAGGCTATAGTGCGACACTGCTCAAGCTTCCAGCTCTAGTCTTCAGCTCCCACTCAGTGTGTGTCCTTCCCACTCTTCCAGTTGGACCTGCTTCCAACTCCCTCTTCCTGTTATCCTTTCAAACCGACCAGTGTTCAACAACTCTGAAGCAGATATTTAAGAATATCTACTTTTAAAGCTAAACTGCCATGACATTCCCTATATTCCCTAAGCTGTTAATGAGATGTTTTTGCTAACTGATGGTTGGTTGGGCTTGCAAGTGCTTTTCCTAGAAAGAGAAATGGGGGCAGTTAAGAAAGAAAAGGGGCTAACTAGGACTTGTTGATTAACTGTGGATCTCCCCCTCCATTCGTTTATAGTTTACATATGCAAAAATGTCACTACGACTAGGAATCCAGGGGCATCTAGAAATGCCAGGAGATTTAAAAAAATAATAATCCAGATATGTCTCTGTTGTAGATTGGTGGAGGGGGAGAGAAGATTCAGATAATCCCTGCAACAGTCACTGTGGAGTTAGTTACTTACCTGTCCAAGTACTAGCAGAGATCATGTTTTTGCTGAGGCCATGGAGGCACCTCTCCAATGCATGGTGGATCCTGTCCTCAGTGCATGTTGTGTGCTGCATTTTAGATCATCACCTGGGCAGAAAATGTTTAACAAAGAAACAATGGGATTAGCCAGAGCTACAGGGAAAACCTAAAATAAACCCAGATAAAGAGCTAATTTCCTACTTGTTTGTTTATGACTTCAGTCATTTAAGAATCCAAAAACTGAACTAATAAGGAAACTGCCATTTTCTTCAGTTTGATTCCTCATATAACCTAGAACAAGGTGGCAGAAACAAGAAACTGTCTGAGGATCCCCACCAACCAGAGTCACAAGCTCTGGCACAGCTGTCCTTGAAAAAGAGCAGTTTGTGTCAGAGTTCTCTCAGCCCCACCCACCTCACAGGGTGTCTGTTGTGGGGAGGGGAAGGGAAAGGAGTTTGTAAGCCGCTCTGAGACTCCAAGTGAAGGGCGGGGTATAAATCCAATCTCTCCTCTTCCTCTTCTTCTTCTTCTTCTTTAAATTCACAAAAGTTTTGAAAAGAGGAGTGTCTATAGCCAAGCTTCCCTCTTCTATCCTTTTGAGTATCAATGCATCCCCAGTCCTATCCGCTACAAGGCAGGAATTTCTGTTAAGGCAGCAAGGGCTCGGGAAACAGCATAAGACCAACGTAATCCAACTCAATTCAAACCCATCAGAACTTGTAAAAAAATTCTTAATTTTACAAATAGTATCTGTAAAATACCCATTCCCTTTCACCATGTCACTCGCTCACACCATTCATTATAGAAATAATATGCTTGTTATAATATCAATAGACATATTTTATATTTGTTTCCTAATTTAGCAGCTTCTGTTAAAAACATGCCACAACGTCTCCATAAACTTATTCTCCTTCCTGTCTTTTTTTTTAGAGCTGATCTATTGAGACAGTTTGCTGATCATTATGAAGCCCCAGACTTTCCAAACAAGGATTCTAGTTTCTTCCACTGTTATATAATGACAAAGCAACCAGGTACCACTAAATTTTAAATTACATTTTATGAAAAATACGGTCATCTCTTTCATGAATCTCTCTACCTTTTGAGGATTCCCAGTATAAGTCAGAATGAATGACTCTGGCATCTTGTCACTAGACAGAGTTCATGGAATCGAACTACAGGGCTGAAAGATCATTTGTCTGCAGTGATAACAGGTCTCACCACACCAAAGCAGTCTTGGCAGCTTGTGTTAGGCAAAGACCACTATCACAGGAGGTTTAGTAAGCAGCACACCCAGGTGGCTCAGAAAGCTACAAATACACAACAAGGCCACTGTCTGTCAGTAAACAAGGTTTCCAGTCTATAACAGGGACAACACAGGTGAGGTCATATGCACTCATAAGAACATAAGAGAAGCCAATGTTGGATCAGGCCAATGGCCCATCCAGTCCAACACTCTGTCACACAGTGGCCAAAAATACCAGGTGCCTAGGCTTACCAAACGCCGGCGGGGGAAATCTATTTCCTGGCAGGATGCGTGCCGCGGGGGACGGCTGTGCGCGCTGCCCCCGCCGTCGCCAGGATGTGACGCTCCGCGTTACCCTGGCAACGGGACCCAAACAGCCCCGTTGCCAGAGTAACGCGGAGCGTCACATCCTGGCGACGGCCACCACTTACTCTGGCAGTGAATTCCATGTGTTAATCACTCTTTGGGTGAAGAAGTACTTCCTTTTATCCGTTCTAACCTGACCGCTCAGCAATTTCATTGCGTGCCCATGGGTTCTTGTATTGTGAGATGGGGGGGAAAGTACTTTTTATCTACCTGCTCTATCCCATGCATAATCTTATAAACCTCGATCATATCACCCCTCAGCCGTCATTTCTCCAAGCTAAAGAGCCCCAAGGACTTTAACCTTTCTTCATAGGGAAAATGTTCCAACCCTTTGATCATTCTAGTTGCCCTTTTCTGCACTTTTTCCAATGCTTTAATATCATTTTTGAGATCTGGTGACCAGAACTGCACACAGTATTCCAAATGAGGTTGCACCATTGATTTATACAGGGGCATTATGATATTGGCTGATCTGTTTCTACTTCTGTTTCTAGATTCTACTTCTACTCTGGTCCACCAATCTAAATTTATTTCCCTTTTCTTTAATTCTTCCTGAGATTTTAGATTATTTCCAACATCTAGCAATTCTGCATACCAGCTAACTGTTCGTTTTGAAGTCAATAGCCGCCACCACTTCCTCTGGCAGTGAATTCCATGTGTTAATCACTCTTTGGGTGAAGAAGTACTTCCTTTTATCCGTTCTAACCTGACCGCTCAGCAATTTTATTGCGTGCCCATGAGTTCTTGTATTGTGAGATGGGGGGAAAAGTACTTTTTTATCTACCTGCTCTATCCCATGCATAATCTTATAAACCTCGATCATATCACCCCTCAGCCGTCATTTCTCCAAGCTAAAGAACCCCAAGGACTTTAACCTTTCTTCATAGGGAAAATGTTCCAACCCTTTGATCATTCTAGTTGCCCTTTTCTGCACTTTTTCCAATGCTTTAATATCATTTTTGAGATCTGGTGACCAGAACTGCACACAGTATTCCAAATGAGGTTGCACCATTGATTTATACAGGGGCATTATGATATTGGCTGATCTGTTTTCAGTTCCCTTCCTAATAATCCCCAGCATAGCATTGGCCTTTTTTATTGCAGTCACACACTGTCTCAACATTTTCAGTGAGTTATCTACTACGACTCCAAGATCTCTCTCTTGGTCAGCCTCTGCCAGTTCAGACCCCATCAACATGTATTTATAGTTAGGATTTTTGGCTCCAATGTGCATCACTTTGCACTTGGCCACATTGAACCCCATTTGCCATGTTGACGCCCACTCACCCATCCTTGACAGATCCCTTTGGAGTGCCTTGCAATCCTTCCTGCTTTTAATCACCCTGAAAAACTTCATGTCATCCACAAATTTAGCCACTTCACTGCTTACTCCCAACTTAAAATCATTAATAAACATGTTAAAAAGCATTGGACCGAGTACTAATCCCTGCGGTACCCCACTGCTTACCACCCTCCACTGAGAAAATTGCCCATTTATACTCTCTGTTTCCTATTAATTAGCCAGTTTTTGATCCACAAGAGGACTTGTCTTTTTATCCCGTGACTATTGAGCTTGCTTAGGAGCCTTTGATGAGGAACTTTATCAAAAGCTTTCTGGAAGTCAAGGTAAAAAACATCTATTGGGTCCCCCTTGTCCACATGTTTGTTCACTCCCTCAAAGAACACTAACAGGTTAGTGAGACAAGATCTTCCCTTACAGAACCCTTGCTGAGTCTGCCTCAATAGTTTTTGTTCATCAATGTGCCTACTAATTCTTTCCTTAATAACAGTTTCTACCAACTTACTCGAAAGATGGAATCAATACAAAATATATGCTCAGCCCCACCCTCCAAATCCCCTTGTGTCTTAAGTCAAAACTTTTTCGGCCAAAGTCACAAGGAAAGTGGTGATTAAACAAGGGGCATGATTCATTCCCTCAACATGGCCCAGAAATAGTCTTCTCTTATGTCAGCTCATCACAGGATGCCACAAAGTGTGATCAGCGGAAAAGGGAGGTTTTCCTTCCCCAATTGGCCTGTGCAGGCAGGAAGTCAGACCAGTCCTCAGTGCATCTTCTGCCCTTACAAATCTTAATTTTGTAATCAAGAGCTGACAGCAGACTTAGGATGTTAAGGAAAGCCATTCCTGTAATATAGAAAACCACAGGGTACAGATTCTGCTCTTGTCATCATTTCCTAAGAGAACCCTGGAGAGCACACAAGACTGTATTTACGCAAACTGAGTACAGCTTATCTAAATCCATTAGGTTCATGGTAAATATTGAACCTAGAAGACTCGCCCTGGGCCATCTCCACAGTAAATAGGATCACTTCTTGATCAGTTGTCATGCTGACTAAGTATAGGAACACTTGGGACCAGTGTTCCCTCTAAGCTGAGTTAGTGTGAGCTAGCTCACAGTTTTTTGGCCTCTGGCTCACACATTTTTGTCTCAGCTCAGGAAGGACGGCTCCAGAGCCAACTCATTTATGCAGCAGCCAAATTGCTCGCTCACAACTTTAATGCCGGCAGCTCATGAAGTAGAATTTTTGCTCACAAGGCTCCACGGCTTAGAGGGAACATTACTTGGGACATGGCTTCCTTGGTGGGGGCTCTCACACCTTTCCTGGATTAAAAATTACCCTTAGCTTAACTCTTAGTTCTAACCATTTCAGAAGAAAAAAACAGGAATGTATGAATGGTCAGTATAGGAAGGATTTACCTGTGTGGTGGTGATATTATCATCATCAACATCAACCTTTATACCCTGCTTTTCTGCCCTCACGAAGGCCAACAAGGTGGCTAACAGTTTAAAACATACATGATAAAAATCACATTTTAAAACCATTAAAATCAACCTTCCATGTACTTCATTAAAACAAATTTAAAACAGGGTTAAAATACATATGAAAACATTAAAACAGCAATTAAAACATTGGTCAGGAAGGAAGGGATCACTGAAGAAATGCCCAATGAAACAAAAGTCTTCACCCACTGGTGGAAAATGGTAACAGAATCAACCGAATCAGAAGAAAAGGCCCAGAAACAAGAGGAGGCACAAAGCAGCGAAGATAAAAAAGGGATGAAAAAAAGAAGAAGTAGAAAAGGGAAATATACTTATCCTTTCCAAATGGTTACAAGGCAACAACAAAGAAACCACAAAGAACTCACAGAAGAGGATAAAGATGAATAAACAAGGCTTAAAAAATAGTCTCCATCAACATAAATGGATTAAACTCACCGCAAAAAAGATCATGAATCTATCTACAACTTTAAAAAACAAAATTCAGATATAATTTGCCTTCAGGAGACGTATATCAAAAAGAAAGACGCTCGTTTCCTTGAAAATAAAAAATTCGGTAAACTGTTCACAACTGCAGATGAAAAAAAGAGGAAAAAAAGAGGTAGCTACTAGCTACCTATGTTAAAGAAAATTTACAACCAGAGCTTATATTCAGTTTGGAAGACGGAAGAATTGTTCTGATTCAA